GGCTAAAAATCTGCATGGTGGAGCCTGATTGGAGCAAGTGGGCTGTCCAATCGACATTTGGGATCGTGAAGTATGGTGGTGTGACCCCATAAATCCCGGTGAATCTCGGGCGCCGCTCTTGATCGTGGGTTCTGAGTTTCTGGCCGTGGAGACGCATTTATGGCCTGGATAGCTGGTGAACCAATATCTCAGGCTGTCAGAATTCTTGTGAGAATGTCCACATCAAATCACTCTGATCCTCATCACCAAATCCTGACTTCAGTCACTTCCCACCTTCCCTCATGCATTAAATGCTTTGTGGCCAGTGGGTTTGCTGCATTAAAACAGGTACTACTTCATTAAATGAAGCCTGGGACCCTGCTGTCACGTGATGATTTGCCTTTAATGCCGTGGCCGTGATTTTGTTCGGCCTCGGCCTCGGCCTGCGCTTGAGGCCGAGATGATCATGCCTTAGCATTTCTTCTTTTGTCTTTAGGAAGGCGAAGTACCCTGGCGAAACGTTGCATTTCAGTTTTTACGAACAAGTGCCAGGGCTGAGAGAAGGTGCTCCTTCGGCCAGCTTATGGCCGTGATTTATCAGGCACAAACATTGCCCCCACATCCCTGGATTCTTCGGCCTCGGCATGGGTAGGGGCCGAATGGATTCCAAGGGATGGACCCTTTGCATTCCTTTCTGAAGTGATTGACAACTGGGGCATTAAATGCGCAGGCCAGTTGGCGCATTTAATGCCTCAAGCACGTCGTGTAGGCCATCATTGCCCAGGGCGTCGCTTGGCCTCGTCAAATGAAACGATGGTCTCTAGATTTTCGACGTGTCATCGCGCTCTTAATTCGCACGAGTCATCATTTTGCCCTGCCAATCGAAACGTCGGCCACCATGTCTCTGTCATAATTTCGCGTGCTCTGAGTGCGCTGTCAGGCCGTTTCATCTTTCAAGATCATACCTCTGTTTTGAACTCCAGCGCCAGTATAAAACCCAAACTCCTTCACAGTTTCTTTCACACTCCCAAAATCTCTGAGTT